TTAACCTTTTGACTGCTGGGTTTTTATGGGCCTGTAATACCCCCTGTGCTAGGTTTTCCCCCCAAAAATGCAAATTTCAGTTGTTCTTGATATTTACTTAAATGTGGAGCCATAATGAGTGATACATGTATGATGTCCATTTAAGTTGTTAAATTCTTGACCTTTAAAATGGTATTTAAAATATAAATCCCCTGCTGGGCCATCGGTACTGACGCCATATGGCGTCAGTAGCAGTCAAAAGGTTAATGGTCATGAAATCCTTAACAGGGATTCCCTCAACCAGACAACATATCAGGACAGGGGGAGGAAGTTTCACGGCTTCTATCTCTCTCCTTCGCATACTTCGTACTTGCTTGTTGTGACCTTCCACCCGCTTCTCCTCCAGGCCAGCCTTTTGACTAAAATGTTTTTCCCAGCCATGTTACATTGATCTGTGCCATTATCTGTCCATCTTGAGTTGTTGGCATTTCCAAGGTGATGTCCATAAATGCAGTTTTTTCATTGATACAGGGCGTTCTCCGGGCTCTTTAATGGAGGGGCAGTTCTGACGAGGACCCCCGGACCGAGGAGAAACGCTTCATATGGCCCGTCAATTATAGTCCATTGCTGAATGGCATCAGATGATTCAATCGAGACGGTTTTTAGTTCAGAGCTCGGAGCCATTCGGCGTGTTAGCATTTTTTTGTAACTAGTTGCTTCAGAGAATTCGATTTGTTCATATATAAGCATTTATTCGCTTACTGCATCACTGTAGCTTGCTATTTTTTGGTTTGTGCCTCCTCAATATTTCCTTGTCAAGTAAGCTTGAACTAATATCACATTTTTTCGAGTTTCCTTTGACCTAACCTAACGTGGCCTTGTCTATTCTAACCATTCTTAGCTAACCTGGTTTTAGTTCTAACCCTTGACCTCAATAACCCACCCTAACCTCGTCTAACTCCATTCAAATGTCGCATGACAAGGTCACGTTAGGCCAGGAAGGTGTGCAAACTCTCCACACCGCAAACAACATTCAAATAAGTTTAAACGTTTAATCAATTACGTTCATATGTATACATTGAGGAGGTACTATAGAAAGTTAGTTTGCCATTCACTTAATTTGGGTGATATAAGTAGACGTGATCAAAGGTCACACGAGACTTGGCAGTTTGCCCCCTTGTTTAATAGGAGATTCCTCCCTTGGAGAGAGAAGCCTTTAATGAGGTGAGTGAATATGGGATTTAGTTGCCTCTCGAGTTCACAACTCCTGTATTGATTGTTGATTCTTGAAGATCCTTTTGGTTTTTTCACTTAAATTTATTGTTTTAAACCAAATGTGCGAGGTTGGTTAAGGCAATTGTATCCCGTGTTGGAGTAGCAGACAGCCGATATCCGGGAGGCAGGGCAAGGGTGGCCTTCTCTTGGCATTGGCTCCAGATCCACTTGTTCCAGCGGCTCCACGGAACGCTTTCCCAGCCTGCAACCCAGCTCCGCGGTCTTCACCCGATCAGAGCCAATTTGGTGGAGTGCTGTTCCCCTGAGGGATCGGAATGAGGTTCTCCTCGACATAAAGTCCCCTTTATGTCGAGGAGAACCTACTTTCTCTAGGAAAGCGGCGAATTTGGTGAGAAGTCACCTTTTTATCTGCTCATGAGGTTAGCGTAAATGAACAATATTAGAAGCACCACTTGTATTCCAGGTGTTGGGTGAAACATGAGGCCTTTTCTACAGGAACCCCACTCAGCGTCTCCAAGGACACCGGAACCGCTTGCCGAACAGGTGTCATTTCTCAAAAGGCAGGAATTTTATTTTTCAATTACAATCTGACTTGAATTTAAATCATATCCTACAAACTTAATACCTTTTTTTCCCTTGAGGAATCCACAGCCTATGACTAGTGGGACTCGTATTAAGATTTCTCACCCTTAGATTCCACCTGCTCAGTCTTCCGTTACATCCCGTATGACGCTCTTCGTTTCTTGGATAGCTCTCGGTCATGGAGCCACCATCAGGAAACTTTCTCGCAATAGAAAACATCTAATGCCCGAGAAAGATGAGATCTTCTCGCGCTCTGAATTTTGACAGGCTCCCAAGTTTACATTAACCCTTTCTTACTATTACCCTGCCTTCATGTTTTAATATTTTTTCATCATATGTTTTTTCATCATATATTTTTCATCATATTTAATATTTTTTCATCAATCTTTTATAATCTTATCTTTTTATATTTACGTATTCATTTCTCAACTTTTCATATTTCTTCTATATTCCTTATGGATTTCTTTCTGGATGAACCTAGAGAGGTTGAGGTCTTTTATGGGGTATTTTCTGCTAGGCCCCGCCAGCCTGTAATCCAGTTCCACGGGCCCCTCATCGTTCAGAGACAATTTGGTGGACATGGCAGACAACTTGCGTGGCAGACTGGGATCTCTTGATTGGCAGTGTTCATTGGTATCTTGGCCTGGATTTTTCTTTGGGAACGGCTAAGCGGTCGGCGGAGGAACGCTCTCCTTTTCACCGATGGTGGTTCCCCTGTGTGGTGAACCGTCCATGAAGCGAAGACCTGGTGGAGTTTCTTTTCCTTTTCCTATCAGAGGTATCCTTTCTCTCTTTATTGTCTGACGATAAAGTCTTTTTTATGGTGGTTTTTGACCATGCCCAACATGACCTTGTCTGTTCCGTCTGCCCCTTAGCTAACATGGGTTTAGTTTTATCCCCCTTGACCTTACTAACCAGCTTTAATAAAATCTACCCCTATTACAATATCACAAGGTCACGTTGAGGAAATTTAGCTTTGTTCAATTCTAAGGAATTTTATCATGCTAATTATGGTGTTATTAAATACAATATGCTTAAATGGCAGATTCAGTATTGTATTATTGCTGATTCTTGGTTTTCCTTGGTGGCTTGTTCGAGACACGTGCACTTTCTGCTGGTGCGTTTCTTGCTGGTCCCTGCTGCTTTACGTAACAGAAGACCAGATGTGGCCAAAGGGAATGAGGTGGTAAATGCTCCTGTCAGGTTTTCCCCGGAGGGTTAGAGGAATCGCAACAAATTCATTAAGGTGGGTGACGTAGCAGTGATCGTAAGATTCCGGTTTTAGTGAAATTGTTTTTCCAAACATGACCAGGGAAGCCGTATATTTATTTATAAGGTTATTTATTTATTCTTTTTTTCAGGGAAAGCAGTAGGGAAACATCCAGGTGTCGATGGAGACACCAGAATTCTAGAAGTTTGCATGGTGTTCACCAGTTCTGCTTGCAGACACCACATCTACCACTACATCGCCATGGGTCTCGGAACTTCCACACTCCCCTATGCAGCAGCTACTCCCACAGTTTAAAGAAATGAAGAGGATTTACCTATAGTCGTGGAGACACTTCATCGATGAAGGCTGTTTTGTTAATGAGAATTTTGTGAAACTTAGATTCGTGTTGTTGACGGCTCTAACTCCCTGCTTCACTACCTTTTTTTTTAAACACACTTTCACGGTCGCCGGATCAATACATACTGTATATTTGATGCATAATGTTTTTTACTTGGTTCATATGTGGACAAATCCTCATTTACCTGTGATCACAGTGATTCCAATATCTTTATCTACTTTACACGTTCGAAATATTAATGAAAATTTACAAAGAAAAAAGTACTGGTTAATGGTCCAGATAACATGGCGTATGAACGTGCTCACCAGGAACACATTTGATTTTGACCGGCCCCCATTTTTCCTTAACCCTTTGTCTTATAACTTTATAACCCTGTCTTATTTGTTTCTTTCTAAAATCGTATCAACTTTTCATCTTTATTTCTCGATTCTCCATATCTTCTATATTTATTAAAAATGTTATACCATGTTTCCTTTTCACTGAGGGGGCCAATCAAAAGTTCAATTATGTGTTACATGTAATATTTCTGAAGGATATTTATGAAACATCTAGTGTCAGTGTGATCTGATTTGTCCCTTTCTAATGTGTTTTTTTAGGTCCGGTTTCCAGATTTATTAATAGAAACTAATTTTCTGAAACTCATATCCCGTTTTTGCACGTATGAGATGAGGGTCGATTCCTGGCGATGCTGTGATTTTCAATAGTGACCGTTTCGCAAGATTTTTTTTTCCATTCCTAGTATCAATTGAAAAATCGCTCCTTGTATTTTCTTGAACCTAATTTCATTTGTGCCTTTTATGTATGGCTCAATGGGATATTTCTATTCATATCTGTTGGGGTTTTATACAGAATAGAAATTGAACAAGCACGATGTAAAAGGTAAGCATGTGACATTTGCGATGCCATCTGTAGAAGGGAATTTTTGTCTTTTCTTCATTGAGCAGTTATTTTACTTTTCTAGTGTCTGCAAATGAATATTTTCTTT